CTATAAGAAAGGGAGGAGGTAGTGGAGGTATAAAGGGAGAAATACAAGATAGCAGCACTTTAATTATTTGTGAAACTGGACTGTTTGGTGTGTGTAAAAAATGTGGAAATTTGGGTTGGTGGTAAAAACCTTTCTTCAGCTTACACAAACAACTGCAATTTATAAAAATCCATGTCCTCGTGTGAGAGGCTTTTCTATTTCTTTTCCTCAGAATTTAGGATATATGTAATGTTATATAGCAGTCATATTTTAAGAGGGTATCTAAATTACTCTGCATTCCCTGAAATCAACCCTAGACGGGTAGTGTGTTAAATACATATTGTTCAAGTTCCTCATCTCATTTTCTCTCAAGGCTGTTCTCAACACCGACTTTTGTAGTGAAACAGCTCCAGTTGTATCTGATATAGCTGGTGTGGTTTCTCTGGTCACAGCTGGAAAGTAGAAATTGGATCTCATATTTCTATGGGCCTTGAAATAAACAGGCAGTGACATTCTTATTTTTTTTCATAATTGTCTATATAAGAATATAATTAAATATTGATCATCTAGGCTAACCAGAAATAGCATGCTAGGAAAAGCACAGATAGTTAACAACCAACAAATATTTGTTACAAAATTACTGTGCAAAAACTACAGTGAACCTCCCAGCCTTGTGTGTCAGTAGCTTTAACTACTTCCTCAACCAATTTTGTTGTCAGATTGCCCAGAATGGGAGTTAAATGGATTGGTTAGAGAATTACCTGCTCTACGTTTCTCTCTCTCTTTTTTAAATTTGTTAACTACTAATTAAATATCTGGAATTCTAGAAGTAGACAGAAAAGAAAAAGAGAGTAAATCATTTTACTAAGCTCTGATTAAATTAGTATTTAGAATATCTAACCAGAATATTAAAAATAAAAATCTACAGGAATGGTATACATTAGTAAAGAATAATTCAGACAATAATTGAAAATAATATTTTATTTAATTTAGATTTCAGAAACTTTTAATTCTAATAGCATTTGCCCTGTCATTAGACCACCCTGAGTTGAAATTTTGCCTTCTGTATTTACTAGATATGACCTTAAGCAAGTTTTCACTTTTTATTGTTTTAATAAACAGTTTTGGGCCTTGGCTTTCTTATCAGGAAACAGAGATAATGACATTATTTAACTTCTAGAGTTGCTCTGAGAACTAAATGAAATAATACATGTAGCAGTGCTTAGCACAGTGCCTGTATGGTATTTTCTAGGCATCTAGTAAAAATTATCTATGTATCTTTTCAGCCATCTCTCTAACATTCATCCATCCATCCTTCCATCCATCCATCAACTGTCCATTGGTTCATCCATTTATCCATCTTTATTTAATGTTTCTGACAACATAAACTGATTATTTTTAGAGGCTTTTTTTTTTTTGCCAGGGAATATGTAGAACTTTTAAAATATGAGATGAATTTATTGTTCAGGGTGTGTGCAAAGAGGAGACACCCCCAGAAAACCAATTTATTTTAAGTCCTATTTCATGGCTACTCTTCTCTGGTTGAAGATAATACCCTAAATTTATTTCTGCCTATAAATTTAATAATATTTAAATAATTAGGAAATATTTGCTGAGTGTTTTCTTTGCACAAAACATTGTGCTAGGTATTGTGGGAATGCAGAGAAACCTAGGATTTTGTTCTCACCCTTGAAAAGTTTGTAATGCAGTTGGGGTTACTTAGAAAATATAATGGTATCATACATTTTAAAAAGATTATGTGAATTAATATGCATTAAGTGTTGAATGAGTGATATAAAAATAATTTCTCAGAGATCTTATTAGAGGTGATCAGAAGAGGGATAGATTATACTTACCTGGAATAGTCTCAGTTGGTTTCCTGGCAATAAGAAAGGAAAGTGTGGGAATTAGGGAGAGACAAGCAGAGCAAAGGCTAGGAGGCAATAATAAGTGAATTTTGACTGGTAAATACATTTATAAAGATTGGTTGTATCTGGATGGAGGGCCTTGAATGCCACGGTCAGGAGTTTGGACTTTATTCTGTCATCAGGAGAGATCCACTGATGTTTTTTGATCAGGATAGTGGCCTGATGAAGGGAGTGGCAGTAAGATTGATTTGGTGGAGGAGTTAATAAAATAGAGAAAGTACTTTAAAGTCTGTTGTAAGAGTTTAGGTATGAGGTGTGAAAAAACTCTGTGCTAAGGTGATTGTAAGTATGGTAAGAAAGGTGAGCATAAGAAACAATAAGGTAGAGCTGATGGAGCTTCATGACAGGCTGGCATTGAGAAGCAAGGATAAAAATGAGGTAGATACAGTGTTCATGTTTTGAACTTTGATGATTCTGAGAGTGGTACTCTTCTGGGTGTGGATGAATGAGGGGAGGTATTGAGGAAAATAGTGATTAACCTAGTTTTAAGGTGTTTAATATGAAATTGCAGAGCATACCTTGGTATAAGTACTTCACATTCATTTGAGGACTGTTGGATTTCAGTGAGACGAGAGAGTTTAGTGTTGGGGATT